TAGGTTGTGAGGCAAGTCTCACCATTTCTTTGGACCTCTGTTTTCCAAACGGTGGTGTGCTTACAATAACATCTTTCTTACCAATAAGATTCCTATATCATAGGAAATAAAGCATGTTAAAATACACTACAATATGGAAAGTGTGCTATTTGAGAGGTGGCAATTTGTGTGAATTTTCAAGCCTGTAAGTCTCAGTAGTAACTATCCCTTTGTGCATAATAAATTATCCCCAATCCTATAAGTTTAAAACCTAGGTGTTTATCACACCCCTAAGAGCATGGGAGTAGCTGCTTAACTTGGTAGTTAGCTGGCTGAGTCTCTTATGAGGTTGCCCTGAAGTTGTCATGCCCCTGTCATTTGAAGGGTAAAGTCATCCGTGAGGATAAAGAGACCAACATGTAAGTGGCAAGAAGCATGATGAACAATTTCTGTCAATAATGAAAACCCAAGTACCCAGTTTTTACCCAAGCATCCTAAATCAGTTAATGACAAGGTTGTCTTCTTCCCTCACATTTCCTCCCTGTCCCTTAGATTTCCCGAGAGACTTAGCTAGGCTAAAACTCAGAGCTCCCTACGTTCTTTAAACAATAGCACAGTGTAGCTGAGATCTCATAAGGCTATATTTGTACTGTCATCTCCAATGTGTAGCAGTGCTTGGTAATTACACGGTACTTCCATCTGTAAGACAGTAAACAGCTTATACACTTTAAATCTACAGCCCCACACTCCTGCCAAGACCAGAGATTGTATCGTACCCTCTTGGCCTCGCTGGTCCACCTGTGTCTTACTGAAGTATCTTTTCTGAAAGAGGCAATGCTGGCGGAGGGATACCCACTCTAAGAATGGCATTCTGTGTGCTGAGTAAATGTCTGGGTTTTCCACAGAAGCAAGAGTGTGAAGGAGCAGCCGCCACACTATCACCAGTTAGTGCACTTGATTACAAACCAGATTGCTAGAAACATTAGGAAATATTTTGTCTGTTAACGGATGCAGAATTTTGTTTCTGATGTATTGTCTGCTCCTAACATTTTACAAAGAAAAAAAAATTGCTGACTCTTTGGCAGCAAATTTTGGCAACATATTTTCTGCTCTTTCTTTCTGTAGTCTGTTCATTCTGCTGAGAATTTCTTTGGCTGTGAAGTTTCTAATTTCATATAATAGCAATTGTCAGTTTTCCAGTGAGGGGTGGGGATGGGGTGGTATTTGATTTTTGTGCTTTTGAGATTCTCCACTGAAAGTTTTTGCCTGTATCTGTGTATTGAAGTGTTTTTTTTAAATGTTTATTTCTTGTGATTTCAGCACTTCAGGTGTTAAGTTAATGCTTTTGGTCCACTTTGAATTGACTTTTGTGCAGGCTGGAGGATTCTAATATAATTTCTTTTTGTTTGTTTATTTGTTTTGCATGTGGATATCTGGTTTTGCCAGCATAATTTAGCATAATTTATTAAATATGATGGGTGTTTCAAGTTAATGTTGTGTTTCTGGTGTTACCATGTTACCTTCCATGGCCTGCTTCTCAGTGCTCAAGGTGGCATCATGTTGCCTTTGTCACTATGGCTCTGCACTGTAGTTCAATGTCACATGTGATGACTCTGGCAACATTCCTTTGGTATGGAACTGCTTGGTCTTCTGTGATCTCTTTGTTCTCATAAGAAGTTGAGGGTCCCCACTCATACACTCATGTATTCATTCTATGAGAAATGCCATTTGGATTTTGAATTTTGGTGGAAATTGAATCTGTATGTTACTTTTGGTAGTGTAGCCATTTCAAAAATTTTAATGAAGGACAGGGCAAGTGACAGAGAACATGTGCTCTGTTGCTGGAAAGGAGACTACTGGGGCCAAAGTGGAGAGAGGAGCAGAAAGTTGGGGAGATGAATGATTGGGGGGAAATCAACCAAAAACAAGTATGCAGAAAATACTGTAACGAAACTTGTCACTCTGTGTGCTAATTAAAAAATAAAATTTAAAAAGTTTATTTACTTACTTATTATTTTTACAGAATATCTTGGTTCTCTTGGCTTCCTTTCTAAGATTTCTCTGATTAGTGGAGTTTAAATAACTAAATGAATTTCCAAAGTCACACTAGCTAGACTTTTAAAAAATATTTTATTTGTTGTGTGCATGTGTAAATATATATAAAAGAAAGTTGTTCTTCTCATTCTGCCACGTAGACCTAAGGAATTGAAATCAGGTTACCAGACTTGGCAGAAGGCATCTCTATTCACTGAGTACTCTTACCACTACCACCCAGTCCTTGTAACAAAGGACTTATGGATAGAACAGATAGTTTTAATTTTCTACTAGTCTTTTTGTTTGTTCACTTGCCAGGGTCTCTCCGTGTAGTCCCAGCTGTCCTGGCACTCATTGTGTAGTTCCGAAAGCTAGCCTTGAACTCAGAGATTCAGGAGCCTCCGCCTCCTAGTGCTGGGATTAAGGGTGTGCACCAACACCATCCTAGTTTTAATTTTATTAACCATAATCTTAATACATTGCTTCAATGTATCAATTGAACCAACTTGACTTCGATCCATTATGCAAATGCAACATTTATCCCATTAAAATTTGTTAGCATGATTGCATCTTTTAAGTTTCGCAGCACAATAAATTGTGTTGAATGTTCCATTTCTTTGTTTTTTGATTTTCTTATTTTGTCAGTAATGACAACGTACTTAAAATAAAAGTCTTTAAAATGGCAGAATAATGTGATAACATGTCCTCACTGATAATTTAATTCTGAGATATAATGAACTCATCTGAGAGATTTCATTAAAAACAGCAAGGTGCCTGAACATCAAAACCAAGATGGTTTTAATCACAGAATTATAGTAATTATGCAGATCCTGAGATTTTCATCAGACATAAAAGGCTTCCAAGGGCAAGCATGTACTTTAAACTTTGTACTAATAACTATGTATTGTTCTAATTATAGTTGAGATTCATTGGGGCCAGAGAAATGCCAGAGAATACATCAGAGAGAAAATGTTATATATTAAACTTTTACAGAAAATGGATAAATAAACAATGTTTGTTGGTGTGGGGACATTGGAAAGCGGCTTGTCTCATGGGCAGTGTGAGAAAGGCTCTCCCGTGTGTGAACACAGAATAAAGCAGGTGCATAATATACCCAGAACAGGGCACTGAGCCTGGATCACCATCATATCTTAAGTGTAGAGAATGACTGGGAGACTTCTTTCCACCAGGGGATGATTAAAAAAAGGAGAACACCTCAAAATGAATGTGTCAATAGATGTCCTCTGTCAGAGAGGAAAGAGGAAGCGTGGCCTAGGGGACATGGAAATGGTTAGTCAGTGTTGCTCCTCCTTTATTACAAGGATTTAGGGTTGGGGCACAGTTATTCTCAGAACTGATGACCAAGAAAGATGCAGAAGTCTTCATATAGGTGGGAAGAAACATGGTTAGAATTTGAATTCTGACAAGAAACATCTCACCTCTGTTCTTCTTCTACCCCATGCCTTTCTGTGTTAAAGACCTCTTTGCCATTAGCAGGACCTGTTGGAGACCATGGTAGGACAGCTATCTATCTCAGATCCTGGAGACAGGAGCTGGTGGGGCAGCTATCACAGATCCCTCTGACCATGTCAGTATCGATATTCTGTACTTTCATATTTGACCTTCTGGATACCTCGCTACTTGTTCATCAGAAAGCTGGAAGTCTATTCTGATGGCCTTTGGGTCTGCCTCAGAGGAGAGCATCCACACCTCACGGCTGACCTCTCCCTGCTGGACAGGCACTGGTGGAGAAGTATGCTGCCTATAGTAGCAGAATCATGGAAGCTTTGCTTTTGAGCATTAAAATGTGGGTCATTAGGAAGAGTTACAACATATAGAAACATAAAGACAAGTTGACTCTCAACAGAAGTACTGTTTGCATTTGGCAGTGGTTCCTACCCATCTTTTCATGTTTCTTTTGATGGACATTTGTGTTCTAATTAACAAAACCACTCTTACTTAACTATATGCCATAAACACTTTCCATAAATCTTGGGGGACGGGTCAGTTGTCTACTGATTACCTCAGTGAGTGAGCCCTCGGCGTCTTAAGTGGTGGGTTGCAGCTTCACGTCGCCGAGTGTGGAGTTCATGAGAAATCCAGCAGACTATGTTTTCTACATATGCAGTGACCAAAGTGACTTCAAAATCAAGTGCACAAGGAATCCACGTGTTTCTAGCAGCGCTCACCCAAGCTGCATTGGGAGATTTCACTGCATCCTGGGTTCTCAACATAAAACATGCACTTATCTCTGCCGTGCTATCACAGCACACAATGCCACAAACACCTCAGTGCAGAGTCACGTTATGAGCAGAACTGTTCTTATTGTGCAGTGCATTTAAGTTTTCCACTCCGGTAGATACATAATGTTTGGATTGCCGTTAAGAAAGACTTTTAGTATCTCCCTACTGTTTTTCCTTAGAATGTAAGTATCAAACTAGTGTATGTTTGGATTTGATTGTGTTAAAATACTTGGCTTAAGTAACTTGTATATGAGTTTTCCATTTGGATTTTATAAATGATGACTAAACAAATCTTGACTGGGGATCAGGACAGCATTTCAACTCTTTCTGAAAATGCTTTAAACATACTTCTGCTGTTTTTCCTTATGCAAAGTGCTTTTCTTAGTGTTGGTGATTATAGAATCAAAATGCTGATCAGTTCTGCCAAAGGATATAGATGCACTATCCATCCTGCAGTATCAACTATGCAGCCAAGATTGAATTCTGTCAAACAACCACATCATGTCATCAATAAGCACAGTTGCTTAATCTTTAATAAGTGTTGAAATTAAATGTGTATAAATGAATTGCTTTAAAATACATGTGTGATTTGTACTGAGTAAATATTTGATTTGTGTTGCTTATTTTATATACCTATATACCCCAGGTCAAGTGGAAATTTTTCAGATGAAAAGGGGTCCTGAATAGGAAAAGTTCAAGTCTGATTTGAAACACTAAGCCTCCCTGTCCTTTGTGTCTTCCCAGGTTCCCCCACGTCTTCAGCTCACCAGGAAGGCTATAATGGGAACAAACGAAGGAACCTGGAGGCTCCACTTGACTGATTGTTTCTGTTTAGAAAGTCTTCCCTTGGAAGCAGGAAAGCCGTCTCATGTAATGGCTGACTTCCAAAGGCAGGCCATGTTCTAGAACGAAATGGATGGAATTGGTTCAGGGGACTTCAGCGGCCCTGTGGTTTAACCAGAAAAGCCCGTGTTAGGGGCCCTCCTGGTGCCCCGGGATGTTGCATACTCTGGACCTGGACGCATCCGCACCTGAGTGAGGATGGTCCGCCGTGGACTGCTGGGGTGGATTTCTCGGGTAGTGATTCTGCTGGTGCTGCTCTGTTGTGCCATCTCTGTCCTCTACATGTTAGCCTGCACCCCAAAAGGTGACCAGGAACAGCTGGGACTGCCACGGGCCAATGGCCCCACAGGCAAAGATGGCTACCAAGCGGTGCTGCAGGAGCGTGAGGAACAGCATCGCAACTATGTGAATAGCCTTAAGCGACAGATTGCACAGCTGAAGGATGAACTGCAGGCACGCAGTGAGCAGCTCCGCAGTGGGCAGGACCAGGCCAGTGATGCCACCAGCCTGCGCTCAAGCTGGGACCATGAACCCAAAGCCCAGGCAGATATGCTGGCCTTCCTGCGTGGGCAGGTGGACAAGGCAGAGGTACATGCCGGTGTCAAGCTGGCCACGGAGTATGCTGCTGTGCCTTTCGATAGCTTCACTCTGCAGAAAGTATACCAGCTAGAGACCGGCCTGACCCGCCACCCTGAGGAGAAGCCAGTGAGGAAGGACAAGCGTGATGAGCTGGTGGAAGCCATCGAATCAGCTCTGGAGAGTCTAAACAGCCCCGTGGAGAGCAGCCCACATCAGCGTCCTTACACAGCTGCAGACTTCATAGAAGGTTAGCATGCTTGGAGATTTGGGGGGTACAGGACAGGGATTGAGGAATTGAGAAAAAGTTCTGAAGTATTCCAGAGCCTGAACATGTCTGGGTAACAGACGTGTCTTGGCAGACTTGGTTATGAAGTGGCTAGGGACAGGTTTTATGAGGGACACCAAAGGTGTGTTGTAATGTTTGACTTTTCAGAAACACCTGCACCTTCTCACTTTCTCTTGGAAACCCCATTAAACACAGTTTAGTATTCTGTGTTAGAAGAAGGTAGGACTTCATGCTTCGGTTGGTAAAGTGCTTGCCCGGAAGGCAAGAAGACCTGAAACTTAGATTTACCATATCCAGATAGGCAGGTCACAGATTTAGTAAAAGACTTTGTATGAAAAAAATCAGATGGCGAACATCTGGGGAAGACACCATTGTTATCCTCTGGTCCCCATGTGCAAACTCACATGTGCAAATTATCATACACGCCAGCACACGCCCCAAAAGAAAAGAGTTAAAACAATATATAAATACAAACTCTGAAGCCCAAGTAGAATATTGAGCAATTTCTCTGTATCTGTTATCCTAGACACTTCTGGGAATTGGGTTGGATTATGAGACCTAAAAGAATGCACAGAACAAAGCATGTACACGTACCAGATGCTGTTGGAAACATACTGCACAGACACTATGTATTCAGGAGGACCCCATTCAGGAACAAGGAGAGCTGTCTACTAAAGAATCAGAGATAGAGGCAGTAAGTCTCAGACTGACTTGTGACAATGATAAAGTGACATTATGGGAAAATCTGGTGTGACAGAACACAAGTGACAGAGCCAGGATTCGAACTCAAGAAGTCGGAGCCTTGAGTGCAGGTCCTTAACTACAGTGTCACTTTGTGCAGATGTCAGAGCTGACTGAAACGAGAGGAGCCATTCACTTTATCATTGTCACAAGTCAGTCTGAGACGTCCTGCCTCTATCTCTGATTCTTTAGTAGACAACTCTCCTCATCTAGTTTCTTGGAGGCTTTGTAGGTATCTTCTTGCTAATTGACACATTAGTACTGGTTCAAAAACCCGTCTACTAATTTGGGAAAAGCTGTTGAAGGCATTTAGTCCCATTATTCAACCTCTGGACAGAATCTTCTTCAACACGGCCAGAACTGTAGCTGTGTCATTTTAACTAGTACCTTTTTCTGTCAGGAAATCATGCCACTGCCCCAGGAAAAAACAGTTTCTCTTCAGTTAAAAATTCTTCCAGGCTGGGGTGTCAACTCAACGTGTTTGCATTGAAAGTGTAAGGACACGAGTGCAATCTCTCAGAATCTCCTCCACACACGCATACCGCTACTACACACACACAAAGTCAGGAATGGTGGTGCACACTTGTAATCCCAGTTCCGGGAGGTGGAGGCACATCACTGGTGCTCACTAAGCGGCTAGCCTAGACTATTTGGTGAGTTCCCAGCCAATGAGAGACCTGAGCCTCTATATGCATGCATGCTTGTACCTACACACACACACACACACACACACACTGACACACACTGACACACATACACACACACATACACTGACACACATACACACACAAACACACATACATCCACACATAACATACACGACACACACACACACACACACACACACACACACACACTATCATTTACTATTTCTCCTGTTCCTTTTAGACACTTGGCTATCTTGAGATTTTTTTTTTTACGGTATATCTGAGCCGTACATCCATGAACTTTTAATATAGAATCACTTTTCACTGTCTAGAACTAGGTAGAGAAATCACTTACAAGACCAATCTTTTGCTGAGGGTTATTTTTAAATTCATGTATTTGAGATACAAAAAAATTACATTGCACCCCCAGCCACTAACCAGTGTAATAATAAGCACATGATGAGCATTCAGTAAGAGTTCAGCAAGAGGTAACAGCACATTTGATGGTGCTTTAGTTTACGAGGTGCTTCTACATATATTATTTTACTAGCTGACCCTCAGGGGATATCATTAAAACATCTCTTTTAAAGACACCACTGCTCTGCCACGCTCTCCTGAGTATGCTATAGATTGCTGCCCACATACAAAGCAATTTGAAAAGAACTTGATTACAAATCAATGCCTGCAGCTTGGGATGTTTGCCCTTTTGATTTTTCAATCTGCCTGCATTTTTGAAATCTCCATCTGCTTTTTTTTATCCGTAATCTTGATATGTAAGGCCAGTCGTTCTTAATCAGCAGTGGCACCAGCCTGGGTCTCTGAGCCCTGAGATTTGACTGACTGTCTGTTAAAGACGTTCTTGCCTAAGCTGCTCAGGGTGGCTCTCATATATAAACCACAGCTGATATTCTTAGGGAGACCAATTCGTATGTAGCTTCTGAATGTGGTATAAGTCTCAATAATAACTATTATGTGCTATATAAACAAAGACAAAACACTTTACATGTATTTGTGTATAACTGATACTTATAAATAATTCTGGTTATTTAATTTTTAAGTTATCGCTATCAAAGCATCATGGAGGGCATCTTTTATGATCATAGGATGTGAGGCATTTGGGACGAGTCTACACGTCAGAAGATGTAGGAAGTAGAATTTAAGTCCAATAGATGGAGGAAATTGAAAACAGTGTTATCTCAGGACTAGATAGGACACTCCAGGAGTCAGCTGGAAGACCACTGAGCTGGAGATGGAAATTCTGGTTCTTGTAGCAGAGAGGTGGTTGGACTGAATCACACTTCATCTTCTCAGTGTTGGCTCGCTTTTCTTCCATCTACACCTATCCAAAGGGAAAGAAGCAAATGGGAAATGTTGATTTCAGATCTGTTTTATCTATCAGCTTGAGCAGTAATAAGGACTTTGCTAGGAGTAATATATTGTGAACAACGTATTTGCATTTCTAAACATAACTGCAGTGAAAATGATTTTGTCTGATATGTGAGACTGGGGTAGTCCAAAGTTGGAGTCATTTAGCAAAACTCCATAGGAAATTAAGTTAAGCAGGAGTGTTCTGCGTACTCAGAGGATTCGAAAGGAAGTCAGCAAATCTGCCTGCTCCTGGACTAGCAAGGTAAGGATAGGCTTGCTTCTGAATGTACTGGTTTCTTCTGTTGCTATGACCGAATACCTTATAAGAAGCACTTAGGTGTTTGCTTGGGCTTGCAAGTTTTAGGGAGTATAGTCCACTATGGTTGAAAAAGCAAGCAGAACAAGAAGCAGAGTGCATACAGGAACTAGGCTGCGACTATAATAGTGCCAGACCCACACCCAGTGACACACTTCTTCTAGCCAGATTCTCCCTCCTAAATGTTCCACAGCCTTCCAAAGACAGCACCACCCACTGGGGACTGATCATGCAGACATATGAAGCTGTGGGGGTCTTTCACATTCATACCACAGCTTGTTCCAAAAAATAAATAAACAAAACCCTGTGGGATAGAATGGTTCCAGGTAACAGTGATGTCAAACTCAAAGCTGTGAGGCAGGTAACATAAGCATTGGAAGCTATGTGACTCACAGTGAGATCCCTAAACTCCTTGGGAATTGGCCTGCTCCTCTGTCAACAAGAAACCTGCTGTGCATGACTGCCAGGGCCCTTCCTAGACCTGGGGTAAGAGTGCTCCACCATCCAGTGCTGGGCAACAAAAGATAAGTCACCTACCCTACAAAAGGAGGAATTGAGAATGAACACTGATGGAACTAGCATGGCTGTGACAACTCTGTATTTCTGTAGAGCTTGCAGAAGAGAATATCACACTTCTGCCTATATAATGTATTATCTATGGGATTTATTAGTTGTCTCTAAAACCTAGGAGAGCACCAGTTATCTCTCTGTTCAAAATGTCTCATAGGCACTGAGTTTTGTGTTGAATTCTCATTTAATAGAATTAATTTTTTGCAACCATTTGGGAAGAGAATGAAAATCAGGCAGTAATCAAGCCCCTGCCTCAAAATGTCTAACTGTTCATCTCCTCATTTCCCTACATTTTATTCCTTATCCCTTCAGAGGAAGATAGACACTGCCGTGTCATTTGTCATTTTTCTTTGATTTTATGTTTCCTTAAGAGGGTAGTGGATATACCCTCTTTTGATCATTCCACAAGGCAATTTACCTTTCTAAATCTTCCACAATGCAAATATATGACGGTGGGACCCCTATGTGAGCTTTTAGTGTCTATTGTCAGTCACTAGCCTGTGATGTTCGCCTCTTGCATCCACTGCAGTGGCAGGGCAAGAGATTTCAGACTCCAAATGACTCAACTTGGGGATGTAATGGAACCTAGCTCTGATCTGAAAGGCTTTGAGAGTGCTGTGGCTTGAATGTATCCCTCCAAAAATTCAACTGTTGACAATGTAACAGTATTGATGGTTTGAACACTGAAGGATAAAGCCTCAGGAATGTGATTTAGGCATTTACAAAAGAGACTTCTGGAGCTTTCAGTAGCTGCCCTTCTACCTTCACTATATGAGGAGACAGACACACTCTCATGTACATATTCACAAACACATGCATGCATGCACATGAACACACATTTGCATTCATGCATGCATGCACACATACTGGGCTCCACAGTGAACCTGCAGCAGTGTCATCTTGAACTTACAGAAGTCCAACAGCAAAAAACAAATACATTTCTGTCCTTTACAAAGTATCCTGCTTCAGGGATTTTCTTATAGTTATGAAATTGATTATTAAAAAGGCTATGCTGAGACACCTTTTAAAGCCAGGCAATTTGGAGGTTGCTATAAAACTTTGCAGTAGCTTGTTCAGTCAGTCCTGACCTGTACACTATAAGCAAGACATTGGGAGCTTTTGAGATTTGGAGATCCATTGATTATTTGCCAGTGTGTGACTTTGAGGGGACACTGTGATCACATTGTTCAAGCTTGCCTTGTCAAGTCCAGTGTGGCTCTAGGTCTGGACTTTTGCAACCCACTGATAAGCAAATATGCCAGGGACAATACTGGGCAGGAAAGAGACACTTCCTTTGGCATTCATGTCAATGACATGTT